AGTGCGAAAGAAAAGGGTTGATTACGAAAAGTATAATAGGTATAATAATTATGTTTTTGCACGTGTGGAACCAGGGTAGTTTTGAAACAGTGTTATCGTCATCGCCAAGTACTTGGAATTGGCGATACAGGTACTGTCTGAATGTGAATGTGATAAAAATGTATTTGTGGTTAGAAAATGTATCTGTTTCTATCCATGCTTTGTTTAACAGAGATACCACAGTAATAACATGCAGGCTATAGATAAACGTAACACTTAGATGTGTCTTTTCGGCGTAGTTTTGAAATGCAACATATTATGTAAAAATTACATTTGATTTAATATCATGTAATAATATGAAAGCATATAAAATAAAAATGGTTTTAATTCCGAATGTCATGAAACTAAAAAATATATTAGATGCAGATATCTTGTACGTATTTAAGGTAAATATGTACGAAAATCTGCTCCCTTGCTTCAAACTTTGACTGTTGCATCGGCTTACAAACTTCAACTGCATCTGTTATTTGTTTTATTAGAGCTTATCTCTATGTTATTGATTGCCAATATGCGCAGAAGTGGAAAGTAATCTATGAATGCTCCAACCACTTGAGAGGCGACTATTGTAGGAAAGCAACTTTTTCGATATTCTTAGTATGTAAAGAAGTGTTGTTCTGATAATTCACACACACTGCACATTATTGGAGTTTTGGGGCGGTCTGCTTTTGTTAAAATGTTTAGTTTATTTTAATGGTAATTTATTTTGATCTTGAACGGTGTACGTTGAATTGAATTGATGCCGTATTTTACGTGACGAGACTCAGGCATGCTCCTCCCCCTGACCACGAAAATTTTCTACGCTCCTTTCACCCACTAGCGGAGAAAGGGGGTATCACTCTGACGGCGAAACAGGCGATTTGAATTTAGTTCAGAAGCTTCACTTGAGGATCTTTAACGTTGAGTAAACTAAAATGGGACAGCCGGCTGTACTTCTCCTCCGAAGGAAGAGGCACGAATGATTTTTTCGCCCTTAAAAATCCACGGCTTCGATCTGGTTTGATCGGGTTTGAACCCGGGAACGTGGGTATACTAGTCCGATACGCTATCCATCAGTACCAGTCCGATACATTACACCACCGCCGCCGCGTTCTACTTTTTGTAAAACCATTCCGTATGATTTTGTTCAGCAGAATTTTTACTGCTGCAGGCCACTACTTAACAACTATTTGAAGGGGACATGAAATCCAGCCTCACCTCGCCCAAGAGCGCTGGGCAACGCGGGGGCGTCGCGCTGTGCGGTGCAGCGCAGCTCGGTGGGCGGTGGCGGTCGAGGGCGCACGTGCAGCAGGAGGCGAAAGGAGGTGAAGGTCGGCCGGCGCGTCCCGTCGCCCCGACGCCCACCGAATGCACACGAACGTCGCCCCACGTCGTGGAGCGGGCGCCGCCCTTCGAACAAAAAGGTCGCGTCGGTCGAACCACCTCCGAGTATTAAGTCGGATTCAGCGATGGGGTCGCCCACTTCGGCGGATGGGTGAATTTGATCGGGATGGGCTCCATTGTCATCCGAGAGCGTCCGCGGGGCTGCGTTCGCTAGGTAGGTGGGGCTCCTTCGGTTAGGGACTGGGTCCTTCGTTAGTGGGGGACTGCCTTCGCAGAGGTGGGTCTAACGGTGGGCGCTACCTTTGGGTGGGAAGGTGCGGCCTCTTCGGCAGTGGGGCTTCTCGGTAGGGTGGCGGCTCTCGGCAGGTGGTGGGTGCTTTCGGCAGGTGGTGGGTCCTTCAGTAGATGGGGCTCCTTCATAGCTGGGGTTCCCTCGGTTGGTGGGGCTTCTTCGGCAGCAGGTGGGTCCTCCGGTAGGTGGGGCTCCTTCTGTAGGTGGGGCTCCTTCGGTGAGTGGGGCTCCGGTAGCTAGGGCTCCTTCAGTAGCTGGGGTTCCCTCGGTTGGTGGGGCTCCTTCGGCAGGGGGTGGGTTCTTCGGTAGGTGGGGCTCCTTCGGTAGGTGGCGTTTGTTCGGTAGGTGGAGTTCGCTCGGTTGGTAAAAATTCTTCAGTTCGGTGGGATCCATCCGCAGATTAATTCCTTCGAAAGGTCGTGTTGCTTCGTTGAGTCTGCATCCTGCAGCAACTGGGGCTCCTTCGATAGATGCCTATCCTTTGCTGAATGCGGGCTTCGTTGGTACAACAAGCTCTCACGATAGTTCGTCCTCCTTCGAAAGTTGTGCTCCCTGTATACATGGGCATCCTTTATAGACGGGACGTCCTCAGCGGGCAGAGATCCCTGGAAGCCCCTCGGTAAATCGGATCCTTAATGCAGGTGCGACCCGGATCAGTGGGAGAAGGGGCCCAGTTGCGAGACTAGCTGCACCTTCCCGCCTCCCTTTCGCTGCCTCTGCCGCTATTTTTGTCCCTCCGCAGAACGCGACTAGGGAAATGTGTTTAAATGTATTACCTTTGCGAACATATGCTATTCCTTAACTTCTTTTACTACGAATTGGCGGCACTGGAAGGGTGCAGATTCCAAGCGAGGTGGGCTGGTTCTACAGAGGCACGTATCACGATACGCGTGCTAACTGCTATTGGAGGCACCGCCGAATCCATTAAGAAAAATAACAACGGTATCATATATTTTCCTTCTCGCATACTATTTACGTAGTATATAAAAAGAATTGTAATGCTGCTGGAGAAAAATAGCGAATTTTTGACAGAAAAACAGTGTGGGGACCTGACCCAGTAAAAATTGATAAATCTTGTTGCAATATCTAGTAAATACTTCCTCTATCCAAATTTTGTGGGTTCTACGAACCGAAATATTGGTTTTCGGCCATAAGTCAGTCGTTCCGTCTGTCTGTGAACATCTCTAGTGGCTAAAATGTTCGTAAGATTTTCTCTAAATTTCATATTTATCAGTTGATTTTGATGTCGCCGTCGTATGAATTTCATAAACTGATATTGTAAGTTTTGGTGTACTTTACATGTAGCCTCAAAATAATTTTTAAAATCGTCTTAAATATTGCTGCAAATGTTTTGATTAAACCTAGTTCTGCGATAGCAAATAAAGCGCATAAAAATGGTGTAAGTGTCATTTTCATTGAAATATCTGACTTTCTGAAACTTGAAAACGTTTTTTCGGTGTCTTCCTACAATTTTAATATTGAAAATAGAGATGTTTTCCCCTTAATAAAACACGTTCCTAGAAGACATATTTCGAAATAAGATTATGACAAATTTGGATATAAAACACCTATCCGAAAACAAATTTCTTTCTATGAAAATAAAAGATCAAATACAGTGTGAAAAAAATATGACACATTTTTCGAAGATATGAGTAGTTTTCGCGTTATTTTACTCGATTATAGGCACATTTTCAACAATTATTTTCTCCAAAACGGGTCAATTTTTTTTCTTTAATTCTTCTCTTCGTAAGTAGCAAACAAAGTAGTGCTGAACCCATTTTCGCCGAAATCTATTTTCGACACCTGAAAAACATAACAAAACATAACAAAATGACAATATTGATGGCAGTTTTTTGTTCAATGAAATCTTATTTAAAAAGTCAGATTTTTAAGAAAGGTGAGGCACATTTTATTAAAAAACATTATTTTCGAAGATGCAGATTCGAATTGTCCGCGCTTCTTTTGACATATGTCGCATTACGAAATGGCTATCCCAGGATACAAGTATTGTAACAAGTATTTGGAATTCTAAGAATTTGACGTAGGGCTCTGGGATGGGAGGCATTATTTAACCTTAAAGTTACATCATCTCTAAATTCAATAAGAATAAGAAATGGCTCCTAAGATTGATATTACGTAATAACACAGAGGTTACGTGTATAGTTTCAATATGTAAAACACCACACACAGTAAGATGATGATCGAATATTGAATTTGTGATCATGTATTTGCTTGAAAAGAATCAATTGCGTGCAAACGTGTCTATTATGTTCTAGATATAATACTTATATTTTCAAAGGCGGTAGATTTCTACCCTTATTTTTAAGCATTCATTAAGTTATATATTGAATTGCCTTGAGCTCTGGATGCTTAATTTATACACTGCTGTTACTTTAAAAAGGTTTGATCGTTGATGATGGTAAACTTATTAAAAAATTGTAATTTCGGTGTAATCAAGAAAATCTTGTGTGAAGTTATCTTTGCTTGCTTGTTTGATGTACTGGAAATACTATTACAGTTTAGATTTATTTATGTTTGTATCTTTTGTAGAAGTGAGATATTACTACTGTTCCTGGGTATCGAAAAAGTTGCAGATATGCACAGCAGACGTTTCGTTTGAATTCTTTGGACCTTTTCCAAGTGATGACAATTGATCGTAGGGTAAAAATTACAGTAATATGTTTCATAACCGTTCCCAATAATGCGATAAATATGTGCTGTTTTAGCATCACTTTTATTTTGGTCGACTTATCAAACTAAGACAATTAGTAATAGATTCTTTTTGAATAAGTATACATTGTCAGTACTTATCGATCATTCTATAGTCTCTCGTATTTTGAAAATATGTAAAATGTTGATGTGTTTATTATTGATAAACTTATCAATATTTTCACAATACATTTTGGCAAAAACCTGTTGGAAAATGTTTTGAAACATTTAACTATTTTTTTTTTAATTTTTAATGAAATTCCTTCCATTGGGTTTGTTCAATGCAAATGTTGTGAAAATTCGTTAGGATAGTAATAGGGTTTAATTAATATTAACAAGTAATTAATTACGTAGTCTCCAATATTGTAAAATTCAAGAATTTTCTCATTTATAAATGTGTTTAAGCTGTGCTCCCATAGATTCTCAATTTCATTGTGTCTTGTGCCTCACAAACTCTTAACCTGACCATTTATGCGTTCAATGTGTTTTAAGTTTATGTCCTCTGTCCAATGGTAATGAGCTGAGTTAATAGAAAATGGTCTGTGACCTTCAAAAGCACTATTTTCATTTTATTAAGTTTTTATCTTGGTTAGTGTAATTTTTCAATGATATATGCCTGATAATTAATATTGCGTTTCAGTGGGCCTGCCAACAGCGGCAACGAAGGTCGGAGTCCAAGAAGGTAAGTTACTAGAAAAAAAAATACTACTTAAAAAATGTACATTTTCATGTCCAGATCCAGAACTAGTGTTAATTGAGGATAGAAAGTGATGGCTCGTCTGTGATGTCGAGTAGACAGTCATTAAAATGTAATACTAGCTAAAGAAATCTATAAATGTTCTTGTCAAAGATACGCATAAAGTTACTTTAATGATATTTTCTGATCATGGTGAGCTACGAGAAATCTTTGATGAGATCCTTGTTACCAAAAGCTTAATGATATGTATGATATGGATTTATTAAGCTACTGATCCGTCAAAATATTCGTAGTGACACGGAAAACCACGGAAAACTACCGATCAGAGCAGCAGAGCGCTAGATTTTTCCTTCACATAGTGATTGCATTCGCCCTAACGGCCCTGCTTGTGACGAAAATCAGCCAATGAGCCCAGTAGTGCTTGGCGAAGAATAGTGTTCGTTTACTTCTGTACAAATAGAACGTTCGTGTGTATGTGAACAAGGGTGATTTGAACAAGGATGAGGAAGGAAAGATTATGCGCTGCCTGTCCTACGTTTGATAAGGTACTTCATTCGCTTTGCTTTGATCGAAAAACTTTTGATCACAGCAGCCGGGGGCTAGCTTTTTCCTCCACTCAGCGGCTGAAAACTATGTAGCTAATTATAAAAATCCTTCCTGTATGAAGACGCGACCCCAAAGACGTGGCTGCAGAGTTAGCGGCAATGCTGACGCCAAACTTAGCGACCTGGTCTTTTGTAAATTACATTTTAATGTATTCCAAAAATACATAATCCAGCAGTGCCTCGGGAAGGTCACCCCGCCCGCTCTCGTCGCGTGCCCGCCCCTCCCTTTCCCTCCCCTCCTCACCCCGTGGCGGCGCCGAGTGCTGCGGCGCGGGGGCGGTGGCGGTGGCGTGGCCTCCATTACTGTGGGATGAGGCCTCGAGGTATGACGCAGGAGCGCCGCGCCTTCGACTCTCCCCTTCCCTGCGCTATGCCCCCCCGGGTCTCACCTCATCTGATCCGCGCATATACTTGGCGGTGCGCAAGAAAATTCGCATATATTCGGAAACGTCGTTTTTTCAGAACAAGTGAAGAAATGTATCTAGGAAATACCCTATTTTTTGGCCAGATAACATTTTTACTATGTTCAAAAGACTGCTGGTTTATAAAGTAAAATACCTTTGTCTTGACCCGAAATAAACGGTTCTAATAATATTTGTTCGTGCATGATGGGAGGTTCTGAGTAAATAACAATTTGTTGTGATAATTTTTATTTATTATTGTTATTGTTGTTATAATAATAATTATTGATAATAATGACATTTTGTCAATGCTCTTTGATGGAAGACAGTAATATTCTATGTGATGTCACAGGAATGTCGAAGGATTTGCAAGTCGCATTTGCAACTAAAATGGCATTAAATTAAAGTTCTAACCGACACTCGACGAAGTGATTGTTATCATTACATGCAGCATTGACTCTATTTATTCTTGAATATTTACATTCAAGCACAAAATTGCGTGTTCAGAAAGTGTATCGCCTCGGCAACAGCAATCGTACAAACACAATCTCAATGTGTATGCATACCTTTCCAAGAAAGTACGTTTTTTTTCTTTTCTTAATCATATATATATATATTATATATATATATATATAATATTTCTATATATATTATATACTGTCGTACTGTAATCGAGAAACGTTCGTTTTGGTGGCGAATTCTGTCATTTCATACCCATTCTACTTTCTTATTTTCACTGTATGATAGTTCAGAGCATTTCTGCGCACAGTTCTGAGTTTATATTCAGAGAAACATATCAGAAAATAGAGAACTGATTATAATAGATCATCTATTATTTTTATTTCGAAAACAATGTATCTTTCACTCTTCCCCTTTTTAGACAACTTTTTGTTCACCAGTATTTCTATACATGAACATTTGGTGAATGATTGAAAAATAAAATGGAACGTGAGAAATGTGTTTCAGTACTTGCCATTTATAGAGAGCCAATGCGACGATAGTATTTGCTAATACATTAATATTGTATTCACATATTAATTATAATACCTTCATAGCCTGTCAGCATTTTTCCATTTCAAAATCTACTAACTTTTTGTTTTATAGTTATTCATTTTATAGCAGTATCTGTACTAACAATTTCCACAAGTTTATGGAGGGAGTTCGCGTGTTAAATTGTACAGGAAAGATCACATGGGGCTCCGGGCAGCACGAACGTGTCGCAAAAAGTGCCTCCAGACGAAAATGGGAACGCTCGGAAACCAAAAAAGTCAGCTGACGCGAGGAAACAATAAAAATAATACCCCGAGTGCGCTGTGTCTCATATTGAGCGACTTAACAAAAAACGCGCCTGAAAATTTAATGGCGCCGACTTCACTCTGCGTGTTTCTTCTGACGCCGACGTCGCTGCCGCTGTGGTAGCTACCGTCGCTGCAGCTGTGCTAGTTTTGAGAGAGTTGCAGCTGTTCGTGTCCTTAAAACAGCGCTTCTCCATATATAATTTGCGCGCCCTCGCATACCTCAAGGATTTTGCATAGTCGTAGGTATCGTAAAGATTTCGTGCAAAATTACAACTACTGACGTGAGAAGAGCCCCTGAAGGAGTCTGATGTATCGATCGATACCGAATAGGCCCCACCTCTCAAGAGGATCTTCCCCAGCTCAACCTGCGTTACGTATTTAAAGCTATTTGCCGGCTGTTCCTAGTTACCTAAGGGGTCCCCATTTTCCTTCATTTGAGAAGTGTTCGATGATATTTGGGAATCTTAGCAGAACACAACTCCAACGCAAATAACTTTCTTGCTTCTTTTCCCCTCCATACATAGTAGAGGATGAGGTGACGAGAAATATTAACCAGTAGAGGGGAAAAAACGACGTAAAGGAACTGAAGGAGTCTTTTCAGCCCTTTGCTCGACAACGCGGCGCGAGCTGCCTCCGCCGCCGCGTGCTCGGCCTCCGCTTCTGCCTTCGCTCTGCCCCCACCGCCTGCCCCCGCTGCTGTCGCCGCCGCCGCCGCCGCCGCCGCTAACGAGGCGGGTGCAAGGCCACTGGGACGCTCGGCGCAGTGCGGCGGTCGGGGCTCTCGGGCCTTTCGAATCGTGGGTGGAGCGGTAGATTCCCGTGTCCAGGTTCCCACCGAAACGCGATCGACAAGTTGGGACAAACGCGAGTGGATCGAATAAATATGTCGCGCTCCAAATACTGTGTGCCCAAGGGAAGCGACTTTTCTGTAATGATGGCTTCTAATTAATCTACCTAGCTCTTCCTGAGAATTGGCAATCAGGAATTTTAAAAACAATCGACCATTACTTACTTATTCTTGTGAAAATTTACTTCCCCTTCTTTCTCTCTCGTTTCCGCTCTTCCCCCTCTCTTTCTCTCTCTCCCTCCCTCACTCCCTCCCCAACTCTCTCCATCCCTCTCTTTCCCTCCCTCTTTCTTCCTCCTCCCTCTCTCCCTCCTCCTCCTCTCTCCTCTCTCCTTCCTCTCTCTCCTGTCCCTCCTCTCTGACTCTCTCTCTCCTCTCTCTCTCCTCTCTCTCCTCTCTCTCTCCTCTCTCTCCTCTCTCTCTCCTCTCTCTCCAGAGGGACCAGATTCCCAAAGTCTCATTTGACTTCTTACTTCACTTTCCCTCGCCAGAGGCGCCCTCCCGAACACGCACTCGCCCATCCATGACGTGCGGTGCGACCGTCGCGTAAACAAATTTCCTCGCGCACAAAGCTATCTATTGACTTGGTCACGCGTCTGTGAGTGGGGTCTGGCCTGAAGGATTTCCATTGTCTGCGCTCGGGGCCGACGATGTGTGCCCTGGAGGTCCGGGTGTCATCTCTTGTCCGCAAGCAACACATTTCCGTTCGTACGAATTAAGCGACAGAATGAAAATAAAACACCCGTCGATTTATTTTTTATTTTTTATTTTTTTTGCTATTTCTTTTTACACTTGCGCCACTGTTTCAAAATAAAACTATAGTAGATATTAGTGGATCTTAGCGACTGAATACGGTGGAAATTCTCGCATAAAATAATGGCATTTTGCTTGATATGAAAGTAGTTCCAATTTAGTAAGTAGTGCTAAGATCTCTTCGTGGATTTAAATTATTCATTCGAAATTATGCCTAGAAATAGCCTTTCATCATACATATCTTTTTCCAAATATTTCCTATTTTTATTATTACATTTTGCATCTGAGATAAAAAGATGAGGATAGTGTTAAGAAGTGCTAAAGCTGATGCTTTTTCGCCTTAACGATTTTACTATAACGGTTCTACTATAATTGCAAAATGAAAATTACAAATGGAAAGGCATTATTTCGAATAAGAATTTAAGGGGAATTCGTTGCTTCTTAATAGAGCTATAAAAGTGGTACGTTCGTATTCAATAAAATTGGTACGTTCGTATCAATCCACCATTTTATGTTTATCACTGATTCCGTCATAACCAGGCGAAATTTCGACCACTTTATTAGAAAACATTATTCTTCGCTGCTTGACTTTTACCCAAACGTTCTACTCTAGGTCCTCCTCTCCCATTTGCAATCTATCTCTTTCCATTCTTCATCACCCCTTCTTTATCGCCTGACCAATCATCCTGTTGTTTTCAACACCGCTTCCTCGATCTCTCCATTCTCTATTCCTCTTCTCCTAATTCTCATCTGTATCCAGTGTGCCTCACTCTTCTCGCATTCCCCTTCCTCACCCGTACCGTTTCTGCAACCACCTCCCCTCTCCGCCCCCTCTGGCATTCACCCCACCCCTCCCTCTCGC